ATCCAATGGTTAGTGTTATGAAACTTGAGAAAGCACCTATAGAATCACATGCAGATATTGGTGTTTTAGAACAACAAATTTAAGGAATCAAAGAATTCGTAGAATTACTCTTAACACATCCAAAACTTTATGAAAGGTGTTATCCTATATGGAACCCGGGAACAGGTAAATTCAACTTTTCTATCAACAAGGTATCTACATGTACAGGTAAAACACTTTTAGATAATGCCGTGGAAATCAAACATTTGCAACTTTTTTGTGCGTTATGGGTTCAGAATTGATACAAAAATGTCTTGGAGATGATCCAAAACTTGTATGCAATTTTTTTCATGTTGCCGAAGAACATGCGTCTTACATTGTATTTATTGATGAAATTCATGCTATTGGAACTAAACAGTATATAGACATGAATCTTATTCTGATTAAATTTATAATTTTAAATTGTCATTATTTTTTAATTCATTATTCTTATTATTTTTTTAAATTGACACCATTTAATTATAGATATGATTCTAATTCAGGTGGTGAAAGAGAAATTTAAAGAATTATGTTAGAACTATTGAATCAATTAGACGGGTTTGATTCTAGAGGAGATGTCAAGGTTAACTAGCTTGTAGAAATTTCCTGCTTATATTAATATGTAAATAGATTATTAATTAGATTTTTTATATTTATAAAGGTCATCATGGCAACAAATCGTATTTAATCATTAGATCCTGCTCTGATTCGTCCAGGACGCATTGACTGAAAGATAGAATTTTCACTTCCAGACGTAAAAACGAAACGCCGTATTTTTAATATTCATACGGAAGAATAACATTATTAGATGATGTGGATCTTAAGGAATTTGTAATATCAAGAGATGATTTGAGTGTTACTGACATTAAGGTAAATTTGTTGACAAAATCTAGACTTTAAAGGGGCAAACATAATCAATATGTATTTATTTTACTTTCTACATGATTTAGGCTATTTGTACTTAGGTAGGTTTGCTTGCTCTACGAACGTCGTATGAAAGTAATCGCTGAAGATTTTAGGAAAGGGTGTGAGAAAGTTCTTTATCGCAAGTCTGAAGGTACACCCGAAGGATTATACCTTTAGTCTAGAGATGATGAAGTTGGTTTGGGTTTGGTTTAGATTCTAAACCTCCTTGGTTCCAAATTAAAAACCTAAGACCTAAATTTCTTATATAATAAGTTCCAAACCTAGTTAAACTTGGTTTGGTTCAGAATCAAGATTTAGACTAGTTTTCAATATTTTGCAAAACATAAAAAAATAAAACTTATTTTAATAAAAAACTACTTAATTTATATCAAACATTTAGAATAAAATATATTGATCTTTTGAATGACTTTACTTAGCATGCTAATATTGATTTATTTAATAAAATTCTGACTTTTATAGTGTAAAAGAAGGCAATATGTCGATATTAAAGTTTTGTAATTTAGTTAAATGTCGTACCTCAGATTCGAATAGATGTAGGTTTGAAATTGAGTTGTGTAGGATTAAAATTTGACTTTGAGATGCGTCAAATCAGTTTATCATTTATGCGTCATACTAAAATATGTAATATATGTATCATAGTATATATTAAAATTAATAATAAACTATTTAGATTAAATATCTTTAATTTTTTTATGTATTTCAACCAAATTGAGTACTATGGAATATTCATTTATTTTGTGACAAACTTTTGACAACTTAATCAAAAAATATATTGATACTTTGGCACTGAACAAAAAAGAAAAGGTCTTAATAAATCAAGAAAAATTACAACAAATTAAAGAAGTTCTTTTTAACCCTGTAAATACTAAATTATATACTTCTACATTCTGTTATTGGGTCAAAATTAAATTTAAATTACAAAAAATTTCATCTGACTCTAATATTGTACTTCATACTCACACACAGATGAAAAAAAAACAATGAAAAAATTAAAATTAAACTTCTTATATTGGTGATAAAAAATATGTACAATGAATTTTGCAAAATTCATAATGCAATTATTCAATATAGTGATTAAAAAGAGATCTGAAACTAAATTAGTAGTAAATAGAATTATTGTTAGCAAGATCTTGTTGAACATTTTGTATCACAATGCAATATATATGTAACAAGGTTTACAAAAATTTTACTATTAGCTAGAATACCAATTATTGAATGAAAGTTTATATCATATTTACAAGTAATACATTTTATTATTTATTAAAATATATATAATATATAATTATTATTATTTTAATTAAACTAGCTTCTTTTGGAGCTAAGGTTTTTTATTTAGTAGTTAGGGTATAGGGACTCATAGCCAAGACCTCAAAGGAGTTTCCTTACATTAGAGAGTACAACTAGTTACACATACATTTTTGGTGTCTAATTAAGTAGTCTGCTGATAGTTTTATACTAGCTGTCATATCTGCAATCCAACTAGGGTTGTTGCCTATTTAAATCTTTTATACTGCAATCCTTACTGTATTATTAGATCATCTTCACTACATAAGTTAGTCAAGAAGGTCTAAATGCTTACCCATATCTTTAGGATCTTATACCTTATTTTATATAATATATTCTCAGAAATATTATTATCAAAGCCTTCTGTGTCTTACATATAGTTAATCTAGTTTTATGTAATATACTATAATTACCTAATACTTGCAGTTAGGATTAACCTTAAACTACTATATTACATTATTTATACTTTTGTAAAGTTTATCCAAATCCTGGTATCTATCTTTTTGACATCTTCTTCATTATCTTCTACTAATCACAACTCAGAACTAATAGACTCTCTAGATTTCCAATTCAGATGGCCTAGTATGGTATACTTTAGTATCCTTTTTTTTAACAATTCTAATAACCTAGTTGGTCATGTGTTCCTTTATATATCTTGTTATCCAGTTTATCTGCTTGTTTCTATAAAGGTGTTTTATAGACTTCCATTGGTTCAACAGTATTGTCAAAAGTTTGTGTTATCTCTTTATTTAGAAATTTTCAAGTAGAATTCTGTCTCTTCAGTTTCTTAGTCTTCTATGCTCAGTAGTCTTATTATAGATTTGTACTGAAGTCTTATACAACATCAGTTATTAACATTTCTTTATATACATATAACATTACACTTTGTATAGATGTTCCAAGCTTCTAATAATAAATAGAATCTAACTTGATATACCTGGATTATAGTCACATAAGGCCAACCAATTAACAGAAGACAGTTTCTATAACACAAGTTAATTTCCAAATTTCATTATAGGTAGGATTTAAATCTTAGACCTGCCACTTAAAGGATGAAAACCCAACTACTACACTAGGATTACTATTCTCTAATATATAATTATTATATAATATATATATTAAATAATATAATATAAAATATTAAATTTTAAAAACTCTTTCTGTAAATTATTTTTACAAATTCTTACTAAAAATATTCAATTTTTTTTTAATAATTACTAAATAACTCTTATTTGTGCTCTTAAGTAAAGTTGTTAAGTTTACTTTTTTTATTCTAGTTAATTAAGTTTTAAATCTAAATATTTTTTGGCTATTGAAAAAATTTTCAAAACCCAAATTTTTAGTTTTTATTTTTTTTTAAATTTTACTAATTAAATATATTTTATTATTATTAGAAAAACATTTAGCTTCTCAAAATAATTATTTTAATATATATTTTATTATAAAGAGACTAGAATTTATCAAAATATATACAAAAAACAAAAACTAAAACCTATTATTACAGGTTTTTTAATTGGTAATTTTAGAAAAATCTATTTGGTTATTCTAGAAAATTCATTTTTCTAGTATTTATTGAAATTTTTTAAATATTCAGTTTGTTTCTATATTTGTTTTACACTTTTCAAAATTCTTTTAAATAACCTACAAGCTCTTAAAATTAAAAAATTTTTCTAAAAATTAGTAATAATAAAATAGTTCATATTATTTTAAACTTATAATTATAACCTAGCTACCTCAATTCATTCAACATGTTTACTTTTAGTACTGTAATATTTAACATTTTAGATCTCAACTATTTTTTTAAAAATTATATTGATTTCTATAATATTATAATTTATAAAAAAGAACTAAAAAATATTAGAACTATTTCTAACAAATACAAATCTACTAAATATGTTATCATAAAATTAAGAACTCATCTAGTTACATATTTCTTTTCAGTTCTTTCAACAACTACAACTATTAAGTATATATATGAATTATTTTATATTTAATTTATTTTAACAAACAACAAAATATATAAAATTATCAACATAATTGAACCAATAATAACCAACTTACAAACCAAAAAACTTTGACAAGTACTTCACAAATCTATATCAAATATTTCATTATCTCCTTTATTAACTATTTATATATATACTTGCTTCAAATGTTAGATTTCAATTAACTACAAAGTTACAAATAATAATTATGAATTACAAAATAAAATTATTTTTTTTTCATTTTTAAAAATGATCTTGCCTATGTGTCTTTTTATTATTAATAATGTATAATTACATGTTTATATACAATATATATTAATAAAAGTACAACTAGTTATATATATAACTTTAGTCATTATCTAATTAAGGGTTCTGCCTATAAGTTATCTACTAGATGCTATACTTGAGACCTGCTTGTAAGTTTCTTATTTAAACTTTCTAATTTTTAATATTTATTATATATATTTAAAATATGATATATATTACTATTATTAAGACAGAACAGATTAGAGCTATCTAATTACTATTTATATCTAAGTACTATCTTATTGAATATTACTAAATATCCATAGTTCTTTTAAATTTATCTTCAACATAAACTACTAAATATAGTATCAAAATTGCCTCTTAAATTTATTTAATTTTAATAGATTTCATATTTATTAGAACCAGTTTAATGCCAGAAGTATTTAATTTTAGTAAATTTATTTCTTTTTCATAGTTTTCTTCTATATTTATCATATCACTTGCTAGTGTGCCTTCTTTTTATTTCTGATATATTTATTGCTTCTTTTATATTAAGTGCCAACTCTCCACATTGGGAAACTTCTTTCTGAAAACTTTCTTATATACTGATCTTCTATTTACATAGACTTAGCTATAGAGTTTTGTGTATATTCATATACTTCTGTAAATTATAGAGTTTTTGTCTCCAGTTGGAATTGAATCATTTATCTTGTCTGTAGAAGAAGAGGTATTTAGACTACTAGGTTACAGAACCTCATCTTCAATAAAACTATATTTTACAAAAATAAAGCATATTATAACAACTATTTTGCTAAAATTTCCAAACAAACCAAATTAAACAATTAACTCAAACCTTAATCTACTAAGAACTCTGAACAAAATACCTCTTTGTAACACAAGCTTTCAGCTTAACAACTTACTTAATCCTTAAATGATCATTAATTTAATAATCTTCTTATTATTAAGTTTATACTTCTTTTATTAATTCTTATAGAAACAACTAATAACAATAATGATATAGATATCAATAACTCCAATTCACTAAACAATAGTAATTCTAATACACCAATTAATAACTTACAATAACAGTAATCTCTATATCAAGTTTTATCATTACAACAAAAACAACAGTATAGCCAAAAACTATTATAACAATTTCAACTATCTTAATCTTATAGTCAAATAACAAGACCTAAACTTAACTTATTATATAATTTTCTAACAAATTTTCTAGTTACTGATAAAATACAAAATTACACAAAATTACAAACAGAAATACTTTATAAACTTTTTAACTTTTTCAAAAAATATCTTTATAATTTTTATTCTAATAAAACTATCAAAAAAAATATCTGAAAATTAATATGTACTTAAAGCAAGCTTTTATCTATTAATTAAACAAATAGCTAGTACTAAACTACAATTTCTTTTAAACTTAATCCAACAACACAATATAGATAATAACAAATCTATTACATTTTCATTTAATATTCTTAAAAAAATATTTAAAAAATTAATTTTTATATTTACAACAGTCCTTTTTACTAAACTTAACTATCTAGAAATATTTACCTTACTTGCTACTATTTCACCTATTCAAACTTATAATTATTTACAATTTTGTATTAATCTTGTCTAATTCTACTTATATCTTTCTGACAATTATTAAGCAATCAACTATATCAAATTTGCAAAAAATATTAAACTTAAATTTAAAAGATTTAACATTATATCTAAGATTATTGAATTTGATAAATAACATTAATTTCTTTTTATTAAAATAGACAACTAATTTAATATTAAACTTAACTTTAATCTTTTCAAAACCCTATTTCTTGAAAAATATAATATACTATTCTTAAAAAATTCACTTAATTATTTTAATAAATGAGTTAAAAATTTTTTTTTAATATATAGGCATTAATTCTCTAACACTATCAACAAAACTAAAGTTTCAAACTACCTCAAATATGAATTTAAACAACATTTTATCTTTTATCTTAGAAAACTCTTACTTACTACTATTGAGTTTAAAAAACCTATTAGCTTTAATATAAGATATAATAAAATCTTTAGACATGCCAATTATTATATACTTACTTGTACTAACTTCAAGTATTCTTAACTTAAGCCAATTACAACCAAAGACAAAGAAAAAGAATTCAATAATAAAAAGAAATCTAATTATATTCAAAAAAAAGCTCTAAACTACAACTTATATACAATTTATTCAAACTAATTAGAAACATATTTGATACATTATATAACATCTATTCAAAAGAGATTGAAGTTTAAAATAAATTTTTTCTTAATGCTTTAATATTTTACATTAAAGGAAAACATAAAGCCATATTTATTAAACAAATTCTTACTACTGTTTTAGATAAACTAGTAACAAAAGCAAAAAAGTATATATGTTTTGCTAACTTTGTCAGAACTAATCCAAAATGTCAAGCTTTTTACTTTTATCAATACTTAACTATTTATCAAAATACAGTTGCAGAAATCATATCATTGATAAAATAAACAAACAACAAGCTATCAACTTTCTTATATCTAAACTTAACAATACTAATTTTTTTGCACATGTTATTACATACTTTGACTATACCTATAATGAATTTTTTAACTACTTTGCAGTAACAAATTTTATAAAAAAAAGCTCTACCAGAAACTAAAACAATTTTATATAAAAAATTTAATATTAAGTTTAAAATATCAATATTTATTGCTGAGTCACTCTTCTTAAAAAAAGAAAAACAGCCTTCTTTTTAATAAATTTGTCTTCTACAAAACCTATAAATGCAGCCATCATCTTATTAAATAACATATTCATAGTAGTTAATAAGAAAAATAAAGTAAGTAGACAGATAATAAAGCCTATTAATATAGAAGACCAGGATTATAACAATTATATTTAACATATAGGGCAGACTATAGTACCTTGCATAGATATAAAAGACAAGTATACAGTGATCAATTTTGTAAAAGACAAACTCAGAAGATTATTTTCAATATCTCTAAACCTTTATAATCTTTATATATGTTTTAACAAATTTTGTTTTTATTACAACCTACTACTTTTTTCACATAGCCAAACTATTCAATTTTTTATACAACATATTAACAAATATAACCAAAATTATACTGTCTTTAGTATTATCTTTTCTGTTAGCAATACCTATCACAAAACTTATATATATCTTCCAAATAACTCCTTTCTATCTAATTACACTATTATTTATCTTTATTTTTTTTTATTTTTTATAATTTCCTTTTAGATCAAACTCCTTTAATCCTACTCCTATTTTATCTGCCTTATTTCTTAATGATCATATGATACTAAAATATCTACATTAATATAATCTTTACATGAATTTCATCTAAATATCTGTATACACAATATTAAAGATTTTAAGATAGTAACTAAAAAAGAAGCTTAGCAGAATTATTGTTTTTATAATAATATCTATATTGTCTGTATTACTAAAACCAAAATCACTAGCAGTACTAATCTTCAATTTTATAACAATAATTTATTCACTTACTTTTGAGCTAACTCTGAAAGCTTAGCAAAAGGTGCTGCTATTATAATTCATAAACATTTACAACCTCATATATACAATTGCCAAACACATCCTGATAAAGCAATTGCCTTAAATCTTTTCTTTAAAAGTAAAAATCAAATTTTGAATTATAGCTGTTTATATCTCTTCTACTGATATGCAAAAATATAACAAAACACAAAATATAGTTATTACATAGATCTAGCAAGCTTTTCAATATAATATTCATCTGATAATACTTAAAGACTTTAACATATATAATAACATTTGTAGCTTATTATCTAATTTCTAACTTATTAATTATTTATACTACTCCAACATGTTTAATCTTGGTGTACATGTTAACAACAAGCACTTTACATGATCAAACAATATTAGCTATAGCCATATTGACTATATCTGGACTGATTTATTTAATATTTAATTCTTTCTTTTATACAAACTTAATGATAGCAATATCTTAATGTTTAGTAATTACTCTATTCTCTATTTATCTAAACCTTTACTAATGCATACAGCAAGCTTTTACATCATTACACTGGTATTAGTTACAGAATCTTTAATTATAAAGATATATTAACTAACAAATAAACAGAATTTTCAAATATTCTTTTTTTCATAATTTTAAATTATACAATATACCACTTAATAACAATACTAATGAAAGTATTAAAATCATCTAGCATAAAATTAAATATTTAATAATTAATATTGCAATATACTTTATTTCTAATAAAAAAACTTATAAATATAACTATAATTATCAATACTTTTTTTACTTTACATTATTTTATATATCACTTAAAGAACTTGAACATCTAATAAAGATTGTTAAACAAACTTACAACAACCTTAATATCAATATAATAAATTCTAAGATTCAGAAGATTAATAACAAATTTTATTGTGATCTTTAAATTTTTAATTCAAACAAATATTTTCAAATTTATACATAGATCCAACATGCACAAGACATTTGGAAACAACTATATCAAGCTTGTTATATTAAAAACTCATTAGTACTTTATCAACAAATTTAATAAGTCACAAAAAAGAAATATAAAACACTTAAAACATGTCCTAAACAAGCTATAAACAGCATTCTTAACTGATACAAAGCTTCTATTTACTTTTTCAATATCAAACTTCCTAACCAACTTATTACAGATCCTAATTTTATTAAACAGCATATACAATTACACTTTTATAACTAAACTGTATATTGACCAATTAACTAAGTACTGTTTAATAGCTTTTAATATATATATTATTAACTATAACTATATATAGAGATTGAAATCAATGAGTTTCAAATATTGATTAATCACAAACTCTAGAGTTTTGAGCATCGGTACAAAATTTTGACTAGTGTTTGAATGTTTATTGAGTTTTTAGAATTATATAAAAGAATTTAGTATATAAAATTTATTAATTGTATTATTATTGCTATATTATTTAATAATTTGCAACATTAAAAACAACTTTGTATTATTATCACTACTTAAAATTTACAAGACTTATAATTTGTGCATTATAAAATCAATATGCACTATTACTACTATATTATTTAATATGCAATTTACATGACTTATAATTTGTGATATATATTATACAACAATTATGCATTAATCCTAGACATCAGGAATAATAAAATTGATTTCCTTCATATTATATTTTAGAAATACCATTCTGCCAAATAAGTTTAGCTTTAATAATGTTCTTTTCACACTTATAACATTTTCTGTATCTGAAAATAAGTGCTCACTTGGTGTGCTTGTTGCAAAAATTGCAAGAAATTTTCAGACCATTTCACTTAAAATTGTAAATTGCCATTTTTGTAAAGACTACTACACCATAGGATCTCCCTTAAAATCAAGCTCAGGAAGAGCAAAATAACTTGTAACTTCATTATTATTTTGGTTTTGTAAGCTTAGTGAAAAAAACAGATTTAATAAATCCTTTACAGTAAGCTTGCTTTTTATTTTGATTAGTTATAGAAACTGATTTGGATGTTAATGAAGTAACTTGTTTAAATAAACAGTGTTGCTTCTTAAATTCTGCATACACAGCATGCAAAGTTTCTTCAATCTGATTTTGCTTATCAGTTAATAAAACATATAACCTTTTGCATCTTGGATCCAATTAATATGCAAGATATATATTTATATCAAAAGTTGGCCAATAGTGAAGTAAGGCTTTTAAAGAGACAATTTTATGCAATCTAGTAATCTATTTGTATTTGTAGGTGTATTAATTTTAATTTGACATTTTTTTGGCCCTACTGTAGTTTTCTTTTCATTATCTTCATATTTAAGATTATCATCAAATACATTATTGTCTGAATTAAAATCCAAAGTTAAATCAAAGTCTTGGAGTAATAGGACATAGCTTAATCTTAAGAGCAGTAATCAATGAATACATTATGCTAATTGTAACATATTCACTATCACTAAAATACTCTGTATATTCATTAAATGAACCAAATAAATAAGTTAAATCATTCATTAAATTCTATTTATCATTTGTAAGCATAATTTTCTTAAGATGATTATAATCTTGACATGCATTAGGTAAATTATCTTTGCTTAACATAATTAAAATAATATCAATATAATCTTTAACTAAGAGAAGTCATTCCTATGCTAAAAAGGATGAATTCCAATAAGTTAGAACATCACATTTTAAGTGAAGATATTCTTTAATATTCTGAATTATCTATACAATTTAAAAAATAAATTAAAAAAAATTAAATTAAAAAATTAAATTAAAAAAAATTAAATAAAAAAATTTAAAAAAAATAAATAATATTACATTTGTTTCTGAAATTTCTGAGCTTTTTTGTGCATTCTTCAACCTTTCAATTTGTTTAAAGCTTATAAAAAAATTTATCAATCATTTTGCACGAGCTACAAACACTTCAGCTAGTAAAAGACCCTTGCCAATTGCAAGTTGAAGTGTATATGCTATACAGGGCATTTTACTAACTTCTATTTGATTTATCGCTGCTTTTACATTTGTCTCATTATCTAATGTAATCATAAAAACTTTGTCTATTAATCTCTAATATTCAATTTAATTATTGATAGCATTATTTATATTAATTGCTGTATGCAGATATTTTAAATAAGTTAATGTAAGAAGAGCTTCATGTATTTTAAAATTTTCATCTATTCATGAGTACATGATTTCTAGAAATTTTTGTCAATTTTTTGCTGTCCATAAATCCAACATCAAATATACAGTTTTACTAGTTGTTTCTAATTGTTGTTTTAATAAGTTTGTTGAATTATTATAAGTAATATGAATAAGTTGCTTTACAGTTTTTTCACATAGTATTGCAAATATGAAATCCAGATTATGAACAAATTTATGAAATAATTCCTTTAATACAAAATTTAATAGTAAATTTTCACAAATGAGAAGTTTTAATAAAGATCAAACAAGAAAATTGTTTTTTGCTTTTGGAGGAGTTTTAGCAATATTAATTTGACTATCCTAATAAAAATGTATAAATTTAAGATTGTAAGAATTAATATTTAAACAAATTACATTAATCTGCAAAATATTACTATAATTCCATGTATTGGATAAATATGATAAATAAGATTTGAAGTTGATTCACCTACAACTTTAATTCTTTGAGCACATCATGTATTATCATCTTTTATAATCTGGCATTCACCATATTGGGCCTTTTCATCATTTTTATTAGTTACTATAATCAAGTCAATATGTTGCCAAACCTAGGATCATTTTTTAGACCCACCATATCTTTCTAATTTCTGTTTTTTAGAGCTATTAGTAATAACCTTCTCTATACTCGATTTTGGTTCTTTACAAGCCAAAATATCAATGTAATTAAATTTATCCTTTTTATTATTCAAAAAGAACTCTATAGAAGTATTAACAGAAGGTGTGATGTTCTTATTCAGTATTAAATCAAATTTCATGTTTTAACAAAATGTCACAAATAAACAATAGTAGGTCTTTACTGCAAGTTAAACTCAGATATGCAATGATCTACAGGTTTACATTTTTTGTATATTATAAATATTCAAGTGAAAAAACTAAAATTTTATTATTTATTTTATTGCCTTTATATTACAAATTAATTACATCATTTACGTCATTAATTTTTTATTAACTCTCTTACTATTTACTTATACTTTCTTATTAATAAATCAATCAATCAATTAATTATATTGTTATACTATATTATCATCAATCATGCAATTCAATCACCTACATATGTACATTAGAAAGAGAAATTTCATTTAGACTCAGGTTAATCTAACCCAAATTGGTTAAAATATTCCAAATCAATCAAAAAAAGGTAAATTGTTATTTTGTAATTAATTAAAAAATTCATTATTATTTAAAACATATAGTTAATGTTAATCTTGACTGATGCTCAATGATTGAATGAGTTTAAAACTCAATGAATGTAATTTATTTCAATGTTTGAAATTTTTGATTGATATTTGAATAATTATTCACTAATTCTACTCTCTAACTACATATCAATACTTAATAATATAACTCTCTCAACTCTCTTATAACAGAAGAAAATGTTCTTTATATTATATTAAAACTTTTTAACAAAAAAGCCTATAGACTTACAGACATTAGCTATGAAATGCTTAAATATATAGACACTACTTGTATTCAAGCTATCATAGCTTATTTAATTATTGTCTTAATTTAAGTTAAATTCTTAAGTAATAGAAACATAGCAAAATCTATCCTATTTCAAAACATAACACATTTAATAAAAATTTAAATCTTACTTATCTGATAAGTTTTATTAAACATATTTGAAAAGTTTATACAAAATTATTATTACTAGAATTAGCATTATGTTTTCTTAATATTCTATTCTTTTACTATACAACTATGTTGCTTTATCTAACAATAGCATATTTATACTAATTTATATACTTAATAACCTTATTAAAAATTCATTATGCAACTATAAACCAATTTGGCTCTTATTGCAAAATATGAGCAAAGCATATGATTTTGTTAATCATACCCTTCTTCAAAAGTTCTTACAATAACTTGTTTTTTCTAATTCTATAATTAATACTATTATTAATATACTTACTAATTGACAAATTCAAGTTATTACAAATCTTAAACTTATTTTATTATACTTTGTACTTAATGGCATTGACTAAAGTAAAACTATTACTTCTCTTTTATGAAAAATTTACTATAACCTACTCATATCATATATTTACAACAACTTTAAAGATTATACTATACAAGTTTCTTGGTTAACCAATTTCAAACATCAAATATATAACAAGTTTAGTTCATATTGTTCAGTTTTTGTTTATATAGATTTTTTTTTTATAGCTGAATCATTCTTTAATATAACTAATATACAGATTAACTCCTCTAAATTCATACTTACAACTAATAAAAAACAAACTAACTATACTTCTATTATATACAACAATTAGCTTTTCAATTTTCATTCATTAAATAAACGATTTAAATTTTTTAGATACTGATTTATACTTAATAATAGACTAACTAAACAAACTAAACTCATTATGGCAGAATTATCACATCTTATCAAAATTGCAAACACTAAGCAAATTACTAATATATATATATTATATTATTAATACTATTATAATTTTTACAATAAAATATTATCTTTACAATATTGTTTTTAACCAAAATACATATAACAAAATTCTTACAAGTTATATAGAACTTGTTAAAAACAAAGCCAAACTTAGTTACACAATTTCTACTAGTATACTACTTCATCTCTAGCTATATAATATTTATAATATATAGGATATTCAATTACAACATTATATTACAAACTTTACTAAAAGACTTAATTCTTCTAATATTTTGAAAATAAGTACTTGTATTAGGATTCAACAACTTCAGAATACTACTAGTATTCTGATACATGACAATTCTATTATTGATAAGCCTAATAAATATACTGTTAATTTCAAAATTATTTAATTATTTAAACATCTTGTCATAATGTTTGTATTCAATTTACTATACAACATTCTATATACTATTTAAAAAGAGTTTATTTCATTTGAGTCAATACTTTCATCATATACTAAATACTTAACTTTTAAAAAGCAACTTAGATACTACCATATTCTTTACTTAAACCAACTTATTACATTTAATAACTCATATCTTCTAGACTGAAAACATATATTTTTATATATAAACAAAATTTTTAAAAACAAACTACTACTCTGATTTAACTATCTAGAAGACCAAACCACAAGCTATTTATATAATTGTAACCTTTATTAATATTTACACTTACTTAATACTAATTATTATAGTTATTTAACTAGACATTTCTTTTTATATAAAAAACCATGACTGGCTTATTACAGTACTTGATAACCAAATCATTACTAATAAAGCCAGAAAACAACCTTTTTTATCAGAAACTATTCTTATTACTCACTGGCAATATTATATAGAATCACAATTTACTTATCTTTATCTTCTTCTACCTATTTAATTATAAGCATGCCAAAGTTGCTCTTTTAACTTTTATATAATTGCTAATAAATATACAATTAATATTTCTATCAATTTCTTTACAAGATTTTTTGGTCAAGTTGATACATATAACAAAACTCTTAACTTTAATGCTAATCATCTTAATTTTATATACTCTATTACAATTTAACATTCTATTCAAATTTTTAATTCTTCTAATATTAATATTACAATATATTCTATTTTAACTCTTTGAACTCAGTATTTTAACAGACAATCTTTAACAAATTGCTAACTATAATGCATAATTATTAGAACTTTATTTTTAAACAAATGTTTCTGTTATTAACTTGAGCAAATTACAATGCTTCATAAGTATTAGATAGGCTCAAATTTCAAATAATACTATAATGAATACATTTTAAGCCCAAACAAATTATTGGCTTTGTTTATTTAAGTCTGAACTTACTGCTATCTTATTTGCTCTTATTACAGCTTTTAGAAACTGTACTATACATATATATACTGACTTACAGTCAGTAATCTCTAAATATTACAGTTTTTTAAACTTAACTTATACTTTATTTTATACATACACATCAAACTTTTTATTATAGAATATATTTATTAACTTTATTAAATTATACAATATTCATATTATTTTTTACAAAGTTACTGTTTATCAAGACAATCAATACAATAATCTTGCAGATCAACTTGTATACAATTATCATAACTTGCCAGACCTTACCTTTATTTTTTTTTAATATTAAGGTAACCTTCTTTGGTCCTAACTTTTATTAATACTTTTATCAAATACATATATATATAAACATATCTATATTGAACTATCAGACAAATATACAACTAGCTATATGTGTAACTATTTTATATTATCTATTTAAGAAGTTTACTTAAAGGTTTTTCATCAGTTGCTATATCTAACATTTCTGCTTAGATGCTCTATTTAAACCTTCTAATCTGGTCTTAATATTAACTTCACCAGATCACAGATCCAGATCCTTTTGTTATTGACCATTAGAACTATAATTCTTAGACTATTTTTATTCTTAAGGTAAATCTACCAGAATAAGCTGTATTCTCTTTTACTACTAATCTAGTTTGATACTATAGCCAAAACCAATACTTGCAGTTAAGTTTATTTATTAAATTACTATTATCTTTATAAAGTTTACCTAAACTCTAATATTCATCTTTCTGATATCTTCTTCTTCATTTTCTACTATTCACAACTCAGAACTAACAAACTTCTCAGACTTCCAATCCAGATAACTCAATATGATATACTTATATATTCTTTTTCTCTGGTAATTTTGGTAGCCTAGTTGGTATATGTATTTTTCTTATATATTTGTTGTCTGGTGTATCTGACAATTTCTATAAAGATGTTTTATAGGCTTCTATTAGTTCAACAATATTATTAAAAGTTTGTGCCATCTTTTTAATTAGGATTTTCAAATAGGTTTCTGTCTTCTTAGTTTTTTAGACTTCTATGCCTAATGGTCTTATCATGAGTTTATACTGAAGTTTTATATAATACTGGCTTTTTACATTTCTCTATATATGTATAATATTACACTTTGTATAGATGCTCTAAGCTTCTAATGTTAGGTAGACCCAACTTGGTATATTTAAGATTACAGATATTCAAAACCCAACTGATTAGCAAAAAACAGTTATTATAATATAGATATAATTTTTAAAATTTGTTATCTGTAGAAATTAAACATTAGACCTGCTATTTGAAGATTAACAACCTATTCACTTTACTAGGTCATCACATCCTGCCAGACTTTACCTTCATATCTTATAATATTTACAACTCTTCATATACTTTAAACTTTAAAAACTTTTTCTTAAAACTACTTATTCATCATAATATTTACAAAATATGATAACACATATCTATACATTATAGATTACACAAAACTACTTTCAAAAATGGCACAAAATTTTTAATCAAGTTGGCTAACAAGTTATTTGACTATATATTAATAACAATCCAAAAATCTTTAACTTCTTATACATCTTTTAGTCTTTTATTCTTAAATTTTTCAGAATTAAAATTCTATTAAACAATCTTTCTACTCTATATATTTTATATAAATGATATTATTTATATTCACCAATCTGTTGTCAATATTACCAAACTAGTTATTATCTTTACTAGACAATTTGTTCATCTAACCAATTACTACATAGGCTTATAAACATTTTATTAAAACATATCTTTAATACCAATATACTTAATACTATATTAAATACTATAATAAGCTTATATAATTAAATTAAGCTGCTAAGTAGTATAACTACTTACAGTTTATCAAATGCATCTTCAATTTTCTCAATTTTAACAGATCTAATACCAAACAAATTCATTAACATTATTACAAGTTTGTTATTTAAAAAGATAGCTACAACACTTATT